ACCCCCCCGGCTCCTTTTCCAATGGCCGCCTCCCCAGCCACTCTTCCCCTCACCTGTAGCGTTGCGTGGGGTTGTTATGACCCCAGTGCAGGACCTGGCCCTTGGCCTTGTTGAACCTCACCCAATTGGCCTGGGCCCATGGATCCAGCCTGGCCAGGTCCCTCTGCAGAGCCCTCGTCCCCTCCAGCAGATCAATGCTCCCACCCAGCTTGGTGTCATCTGCAAACTGACTGAGGGTGCCCTCGATCCCCTTGTCCAGATGATGGATAAAGATGTTAAACAGAACTGGGCCCAGCACTGAGCCCTGGGGACACGGCTTGTGACCAACCCCAACTGGATTTAACTCCCTTCACCACAACTCTCTGGGCTCGGCCATCCAGCCAGTTTTTTTACGCAGCGAGGGGTCCGCCCTTCCAAGCCATGAGCTTAAAATGGTTCAGGGGGTCCAGCCCCTCTGCCCCCTTCTCCCACCCCACCTCGCGAAGTGGTTTCTGTGGGGCTGGGGTGGGAGAAGCCGCTGCAGGCATGGCTGTCCCCACCACTGTCACCCCTGGTGCGGTGGCACCACAAGCGTGGGCTGCTGGCACCATCTAGTGGGAGTGGGGACCCCCCCAGTACAGTGGGACACAGCCCCTGGTGGCACATCTTGGTAGCCCAGGGTCCCACTTTGGGACAGATGCCCCCTGGCCACTCCCTTCCTGCATCCTCTCTGGGGATGCTGAACCCGCATGGGGATGCAGGGTGGGACCCTGCGTGTCCTTAATCCTCCCCTTTAAGGGGCTGGTAGCCTGTCCCCTTGGCCACCACATCCCAGTGGCATCTTATGGCCTGGGGAATGGGACAGGGGTGCAGAGCCAGATGGGACCCCCACTCTTGAATCAAACCTATAGGGACACCCCCCCACCCTCCCCATCCCTCCATGCCCCGCACCGGGGTGTGGGTAAGCCTGTCCCTGCTGCGTGTCTTCCCCCCGCTTACATCACACCAAGCCTTTCCACCACCACCCCAAAATCCTGGCTGCATGTGGGGCTGGGGCAATGCGGAGGGGAGCGACTCATGATTGGCCCCCCATGTGCCCATCCCCACTCAGGACAGGCAGCCGTGGGGATGGAGGAGGAGGAAGAGGTTAGGCCAGGCTTTCCTTCCCGGCCAGCGCTGCGCTGCCTATTACATCAACTCTGGTATTTCCAGTCCCTGCGGGGAGAAGGGAGGAGCACAGGCGGGAGCAAGGAAAAGCAAAGAAATATTAGGGGATGCAGGGAATTGGGGGGTCCCACGGGGGGGATTCAAGCCCTCCGTTAAGGCCTGGGGCTGGGATCCCCCGTGGTCCCTGGCCTCATCCTGGCTCCATCCCCGGCTTCAGGACTGGGAATGAAAGTGGCAGGAGGGGGGGAAAAGGGGAAAAGGAAAAATCTACACGTGGAAAACACACGTCCCTACGGCCAGGACTTAAAGCAACAGGAAAGGGCCAGGCGGCACAAGGGCAGCTCCAGGGACAGGGGGGTGGCAGGGCTTGGGGTGTCTGCTCTGGCTTTCGGGGTGCTGCCTCAGTTTCCCCAGGGTGGCAGAAGGATGAAGGGAAGGATGCTGGGATGCTTTTTCCCAGCCCCATTTCTGCCCTTCAATAATCCCCTGGGGATGCCAGGCTGGGGGCGTGGGGGTGCAGAAAGGTGTGTGGGGGGGGTAGTTCAGTGTTCAGGGGGTCCCCGGGGAGGACGTGGGAGCAAGGGTCCGGGGCTCTCCCTGCACGGGCCCTTCACTTGGTGATGCTGAGGAGCGAGCCAGGGTGATGGCCCTGGCGTGAGGATAGATTTGGGGTCTGCATGGGGTGGATCCAGCTGGCAGCAGGGCTGGGGACCCCCTAGATTCACGCCTCAGGCCCCCCCCTTTTACTTTAATATTTCCAGCCCCGAGTTACCAACTGGTCTCCGGTGCTTGTTAAAACCATTTTGTGCAGCATCTGTCCTCATTTGGGATACAATAACAAGGGGAAAAAAAACCCAGATTGTCACAGAGAGACAAATTCAGGGGGAAAGTTCCATTTTTAGGGCACAGCTTCCCCACTGAAAACTACCAAAGCTTTTCTGGAGCGAAGGTGCTTGTCCAGGCCCTCACCCTGGTATCGGGCCTCCACGTGGGACAGCCACTGGTGTCAACTGGGGTCCCTCTGGGGGAAAACAGGGCCCTTCTGAGAAGCAGTGCGGGGCAGGATTGCATCGTGTTGCCCCATCAATGCTTTCCACATCCCGACCCCTAGAACCATTGTATAACACCAAAACCCGCAGAATTCAACACAAATATTGAAGGTCGCACCAGGGTTAGAAAAAGTGTAAAAACCAGAAATGTCAGGGGTTTATCCTGAGCCAGTGCATCTCATGCAGCCAGCATCCTGCAGCCCTTCCTCTCAGCTGTCGGCGGGCAGGATCTGTGCTGGCAGTGGTTCCTAAGACCAAAACCTGTGGAATTCACCCCAGATTTTGAGGGTTGTGCCAGGGTTAGAAAAAGTGTACAACCCCAAAATTTCAGGGGTGTGTCCCAAGTGGAGGCATCTCGCTCACAGCCCGCACCCTGCAGCCCTGCCTCCTGGCTGCTGGCAGGCAGGATCCGTGCCAGAGGTGCTTCCTAGGGCCAAACCCCGCAGAATTCACCCCAAATTTTGGAGATGTGAATCGATCCAGGGTTAAAAGTATAAAAAACCCCGGCATTTCAGGGGTGTATCCCGAGTGGGTCCCTCTCACATGCAGCCAGCACCCCGCAGCCCTGCCTCCCTCCCGCCGGTGGGCAGGATCCTTGCCAGAGGTGCTTCCTAGGACCAAACCCCGCAGAATTCACCCCAAATTTTGAAGGTTGTGCCAGGGTTAGGAAAAGTGCCCAACCCCGAAATATCGGGGGAGTATCCCGAGCGGGTGCCTCTCCCGCCGCCGGCGCCCCGCAA